CGTGCGGGCGGTGGCACTGGGGCCTTCGGTGGAGCTCCCCGACTGGGCCACGAAGCGTGTGAGGGGTGTGCCGAAGTGGGTGTGGCTGACTCATGCGGGCGGTGGCACTGGGGCCTTCGGTGGAGCCCCCTATGGGGCCACGGAACGTGAGAGGGGTGTGCCGAAGTGGGTGTGGCTGACGCATGCGGGCGGTGGCACTGGGGCCTTCGGTGGAGCTCCCTATGAATCCACGAAACGTGTGAGGGGTGTGCCGAAGTGCGGTGGCACTGGGGCCTTCGGTGGAGCTCCCTATGGGGCCACGAAACGTGAGAGGGGTGTGCCGAAGTGGGTGTGGCTGACGCGTGCGGGCGGTGGCACTGGGGCCTTCGGTGGAGCTCCCCGATTGGGCCACGAAGCGTGTGAGGGGTGTGCCGAAGTGGGTGTGGCTGACTCATGCGGGCGGTGGCACTGGGGCCTTCGGTGGAGCCCCCTATGGGGCCACGGAACGTGAGAGGGGTGTGCCGAAGTGGGTGTGGCTGACGCATGCGGGCGGTGGCACTGGGGCCTTCGGTGGAGCTCCCTATGAATCCACGAAACGTGTGAGGGGTGTGCCGAAGTGCGGTGGCACTGGGGCCTTCGGTGGAGCTCCCTATGGGGCCACGAAACGTGAGAGGGGTGTGCCGAAGTGGGTGTGGCTGACGCGTGCGGGCGGTGGCACTGGGGCCTTCGGTGGAGCTCCCCGATTGGGCCACGAAGCGTGTGAGGGGTGTGCCGAAGTGGGTGTGGCTGACTCATGCGGGCGGTGGCACTGGGGCCTTCGGTGGAGCCCCCTATGGGGCCACGGAACGTGAGAGGGGTGTGCCGAAGTGGGTGTGGCTGACGCATGCGGGCGGTGGCACTGGGGCCTTCGGTGGAGCTCCCTATGAATCCACGAAACGTGTGAGGGGTGTGCCGAAGTGCGGTGGCACTGGGGCCTTCGGTGGAGCTCCCTATGGGGGCACGAAACGTGAGAGGGGTGTGCCGAAGTGGGTGTGGCTGACGCATGCGGGCGGTGGCACTGGGGCCTTCGGTGAAGCTCCCGATGGGGCCACGAAGCGTGTGAGGGGTGTGCCGAAGTGGGTGTGGCTGACGCATGCGGGCGGTGGCACTGGGGCCTTCGGTGGAGCTCCCGGCCACGAAACGCCGTGTGCACTGGGTGTGGCTGACGCTTGCGGGCGGTGGAGCTCCCTATGAGTCCACGAAACGTGAGAGGGGTGTGCCGAATAGGGAGGGGTGTGCCGAAGTGGGTGTGGCTGACGCGTGCGGGCGGTGGCACTGGGGCCTTCGGTGGAGCCCCCTTATGGGGCCACGAAACGTGAGAGGGGTGTGCCGAAGTGGGTGTGGCTGACGCATGCGGGCGGTGGCACTGGGGCCTTCGGTGGAGCTCCCTATGAGTCCACGAAACGTGAGAGGGGTGTGCCGAAGTGCGGTGGCACTGGGGCCTTCGGTGGAGCTCCCGATGGGGCCACGGAACGTGTGATGGTGTGCCGAATTGGGTGTGGCCGGTGCATGCGGGCGGTGGCACTGGGGCCTTCGGTGGAGCCCCCTATGGGGCCACGAAACGTCAGAGGGGTGTGCCGAAGTGGGTGTGGCTGACGCATGCGGGCGGTGGCACTGGGGCCTTCGGTGGAGCTCCCTATGAGTCCACGAAACGTGAGAGGGGTGTGCCGAAGTGCGGTGGCACTGGGGCCTTCGGTGGAGCTCCCGATGGGGCCACGAAACGTGTGAGGGGTGTGCCGAATTGGGTGCGGTTGACGCATGCGGGCGGTGGCATTGGGGCCTTCGGTGGAGCTCCCGATGGGGCCACGAAACGTGTGAGGGTGTGCCGAAGTGGGTGTGGCTGACGCATGCGGGCGGTGGCACTGGGGTCTTCGGTGGAGCTCCCTATGAGTCCACGAAACGTGAGAGGGGTGTGCCGAATAGGGAGGGGTGTGCCGAAGTGGGTGTGGCTGACTCATGCGGGCGGTGGCACTGGGGCCTTCGGTGGAGCCCCCTTATGGGGCCACGAACGTGTGAGGGGTGTGCCTAAGTGGGTGTGGCTGACGCATGCGGGCGGTGGCACTGGGGCCTTCGGTGGAGCTCCCTATGAGTCCACGAAACGTGAGAGGGGTGTGCCGAAGTGCGGTGGCACTGGGGCCTTCGGTGGAGCACCCTATGGGGGCACGAAACGTGTGATTGGTGTGCCGAGGTGGGTGTGGCTGACGCATGCGGGCGGTGGCACTAGGGCCTTCGGTGGAGCTCCCGATGGGGCCACGGAACGTGAGAGGGATGTGCCGAAGTGGGTGTGTCTGACGCATGCGGGCGGTGGCATTGGGGCCTTCGGTGGAGCTCCCGATGGGGCCACGAAACGTGTGAGGGGTGTGCCGAATTGGGTGCGGTTGACGCATGCGGGCGGTGGCATTGGGGCCTTCGGTGGAGCTCCCGATGGGGCCACGAAACGTGTGAGGGTGTGCCGAATTGGGTGTGGCCGGCGCATGCGGGCGGTGGCACTGGGGCCTTCGGTGGAGCTCCCGATGGGGCCACGAAGCCTGTGAGGGGTGTGCCGAAGTGGGTGTGGCTGACGCATGCGGGCGGTGGCATTGAGGCCTTCGGTGGGGCTCCCGATGGGGCCACGGAACGTGAGAGGGATGTGCCGAAGTGGGTGTTGCCGACGCATGCGGGCGGTGGCACTGGAGCCTTCGGTGGAGCCCCAGATGGGGCCACGGAACGTGTGAGGGGCGTGCCGAAGCTCACGGCGATGATGATGATGATGATGATGATGATGATGATGATGATGATGATGATGATGATGATGATGATGATGATGATGATGACGACGACGACGATGATGATGATGATGATGATGATGATGATGATGATGATGACGATGACGATGGCGACGATGATCAAGATGATGATGATGACGATGATGATGATGAGGATGAGGATGATGCTGATGATGATGATGATGGTGATAGTGGTGATGATGATGATGATGTTATTGTTGATGATGGTGATGATGCTGCTGCTGTTGCTGCTGATGATGATGATGGTGATGATGATGATGATGATCCTGATGATGATGATGATGATGATGATGATGATGATGATGATGATGATGATGATGATGATGATAATGATGATGATAGGGTAAGGCCATAGCGGTCTGGGAGCGGTGCTCGGCGCAGCCGTTATCGGAGGTGAGGGGGTGCGATCGAAGTGGAACGGAGAGCCCCCCTACCGGGAAATCGATTTCGGTTTCGTGTTCGTGCGTGCCGTGCGCGCGGGCGAGGCGAAGCTGCGTGGGCGGGCGAGAGGAAAGTCTCCTGTGGCTGCGGCGCGGCCGGACCAAATGTGTCTCTTCCGGGCGGCCGGTGGCGCGCAGTGTCCCGCCGGTGTCCCGCTGGTGTCCCGTCGGTGTCCCTGTGGCTGAGGCGCGGCCAGACCAAATGTGTCTCTTCCGGGCGGCCGGTGGCGCGCGGTGTCCCGCCGGTGTCCCGCCGGTGTCCCGCGGTGTCCCGCGGTGTCCCGCGGTGCCCCGTTGTGTCCCGCTGGTGTCCCGCGATGATGATGATGATGATGATGATGATGATGATGATGATGATGATGATGATGATGATGATGATGAGATGATGATGATAATGATGATGATGATGATGATGATGATGGTGATGCTGATGATGATGCTGCTGATGATGATGATGACGATGATGATGATGGTGATGCTGATGATGATGAGGACGATGATGATGATGATGATATGATGATGGTGTCCCGATGATGATGATGTTGATGATGATGACGATGATGATGATGGTGATGCTGATGATGATGAGGACGATGATGATGATAATGATGATGATGATGGTGTCCCGATGATGAGGATGATGATGATCATGATGATTATGTTGATGAGCATGATGATGACGATGATGGTGTCCCGATGATGATGAGTATGATGATGTTGATGTTGATGATGCTGCTTATGATTGTGTCCCGATGATGATGATGATGTTGATGATGATGAGGTTGACGATGATCATGGCGTCCCGATGATGGTGATTATTATTCTAATGGTGATGATGATGATGATGATGATGTTGATGATGATGGCGTCACGATGGTGATGATGATGATGATGTTGATGCTGATGTTGGTAATGATGATGATGGTGCCCCGATGATGACGATGATGATGATGCTGATGATGATGTCAATGATGAGGATGAGATGATGATGATGGTGTCCCGATGATGATGATGATGATGATGATGATGTTGATGATAACGATGGTGATCATGATGGTGTCCCGATGATGATGATGATGATGATGATGATGATGATGATGATGATGATGATGATGATGATGCTGATGCTGATGATGATGATGATGATGACTGTGGCCCGATGCTGCTGCTGATGATGATGACGATGATTGTGATGATGGTGGTGATGATGATGATGGTGGTGTCCCGATGATGTTGATGACCGTGATGATGATGGTGATGATGATGATGATGATGATGATGATGATGATGATGATGATGATGATGTTAGTGTTGATGATGAGGACGGTGTCCCGATTATGATGATGTTGGTGATGATGATGTTGATGTTGATGTTGTTGTTGATGATGGTGATGATGACGTTGATTGTGATAGCGATAGTGATATCGATAGTGAGATCGATTGTGAGACAGAATGTGATATCGATTGTGAGAGCGATTGTGAGATCGATTGTGAGATCGATAGTCAGATCAATTGTGAGATAGATCAGGAGATCGATTGTGAGATCGATCGAGGGAGATCGATTGAGCGAGACCGATACTGAGATCGATAGTGAGGTCGATAGTGAGACCGATCGAGTGAGACGTCGGTTCCTCCCCCCCCCCCGAACCTCCTTATCACCCGAAGGGTGGTCGTATAGGTACATTATCGTGCACACCCGCGGGGCCCTCGGGCCCCGCCGAGGAGGAGGGAGGCGAGGGGCGCATTGCCGCGCCGCTCAGCGGCTCGGGCCTCCCGCCTCCGAGCCGCGCCCCCGAGAACGGCTGCGTTGGCGCCTCAGCGGCTCGGTGCGGCCGTCCTCCAGCAATGCGCCCGCACCGCCCCGCGTGGTGTGCCGTCCCAGCCGCATCCTCCTCAGCGCGGCGGCCTGGCGGGCGCTGGCCCCGCCCGCGCACGGGCTGCGGAGCGCGACCACGCGGGCGCCGTCCGCGTAGCAGCCGCAGACCGCGCAGTGGACGAGGCGGCGGGGGCCCTCGCCGACCGGGGGCGGTGCGGCTCGTCGAAGCTCACGTGCCACCAGCGTGGGAGCGCGCCCGCAGCCGCGGCGCCAGCCGCTCCGCCGCTCTCCTCCGCGTCGGTGTCGTCGTCGTCTTGCTGGGCTCCTCCGCGGGCCTGGGCCGCCAGCGCCGCTGCCGCCACCGCCGCCGCGGCGGCCGCGCCCGCGCCCTCGGCGCCGCGGCGGCTCGTGCTCGTGGAGGTCCGCGCGCGGCCGCGCCGCGGGTCGGCGACTTGGTCAGGGGCTCGGCGCTCCCGCCCGGCCGACTGGGGCCCAGGCGGCCCGCCCGCGGCGCTCCCCGCCGAGGCAGCCGTTGGCCCGCCTGGGACGGGCGTGCCGTCCCAGCGGCCCGCGCAGGCGTCGCAGAGCCAGCGTGTGCCGTTCGCGTCCGAGACCGCCGTGCCGTGCGCGCCGCACGGCCATCGACTGCAGCCTGGCCCGCCGTCGCTGCAGCGCGCAGCGCCCCGCCGCCCGCAGCTGCGCCCGCAGCAGGTGGACTCCGCCGCGCCCGCGTCCGCGCCGTCGGCCGCCGTGAGGGCAGTGCTTCCCAGCTGCAGCGCCTCGCCGAGCCAGCGGGCCGCTGCCACCGCGATCGCGTCGGCCAGCTCGATGCGCTCCATCGCCGCCTCGCTCATGGGATGGAGCTCCGCGCCCGTCTTGGCGAAGCTGTCCGCGGCGCGGTTGCCATCGTAGTCGTCCATCCTGGTGTGGCCGTCGTGGACAGAGCGGAGCGTGGCGTGCCCCTTCACATTGGTGACGCGCACGCACTGCTGGCCGCCGAAGCTGTCCACGGCCTGCCAGAACTCGCGCCACACCTCCATGTACGGGCGGTCCCATGCACAGCACCATGCCTTGCCCGCGGCGAAGCCCGTCACGAGCAGCTTGCAGTCCGTCCTGATCTCGAGGACTCCGTTCGCGCCTGGTAGGCCCCAGCGCAGGGCGCGGGCGGCGGCCATGATCTCGCCCGCGTTCGCGTCCTGCGGCACGTGGGCGGGGACGCATCCCCAGGCGTCGTGCGCCGCGCCGCGGACCTGCAGTGTTGCGAGCCCCCCGGCCAGCGCGCACCTCGGGCGACCCCGCCTTGCCATGCATGGCCGAGCCGTCGGTGTACAGGACGTTGGCGCCCGCCAAGGCTGCGTAGCCGTGGCTGCTGCTCCACCGCACCTCCTCGGTCTTCAGCAGTGGCGGGAGGGCGGCCGTCTGGTCTGGGATGAGCGCCCTCGAGTAGCGGGGGCCCTCGCTGTCGGAGGCCTCGGCCACGTCGGCGAAGGCCTGTAGCACCACGTCCCCCGCGATGGCGTCGCGCCTCTCCGCTGCGAGGGCGGGGCGCCGCCGGGCGAGGTGCCGCACCGTGCCGCGGCCGCCGCATCCCGCTGGGCAGGCGCCCGAGCGGCGCAGCGGCGGGTCGAGGGCGGCTCGGCGGGCCACTGGCCGGAGCCCGCCGAGCGCCGCGCTGCGGGCGCTGGACCTGCGCGCCCGCTGCTCGGGGGTTGCCTTGGCGCCGAGCGTCCGCCGTCGGAGGCCGCGGGTGGCTGCGCCGCTGGCCACGCGCTCGAGGTCCGCGTCGCGGGCCGCGGCTTCGCGCCATAGCCATCGCTGGTGCGGGTCGTGGGGTGTACCTGCGGAGCGCGCGGCCGCCGATCTCCTCGAGCTTCAGCGCCGTGCCGTTGTCCACGGCCCAGCGGTGCATCGCCGTGGAATCCCAGCCCAGCCGCTCGAGCGCGAGCAGCGCCGCTGCCGCTGGGCCGCGCCCCGCCAGCGCGCCTGGCCCCTGCTCGAGGCGGACCTGCACGGCGCGCCGCCACGCCCACAGCACATCGAGGGTCGTGTCGGGGCGGTTACGCGCGAGCCCTCGGCCCCAAGCCATGGGCGCCTGCTCGGCCTGCGAGCACCAGGGGTCACGCCAGGGCGCGGCGGCCAGTGCGGAACCCACCTGCAGCGAGCGCTGCCGAAGGCGAGGGGCCCGACCGCCGATCGCCACCGCTCGAGCTCGCACGTGGACCAGGCCTGGGCGCAGCAGCCGTGGGCCGTCGTCGGGAGGAGGCCGCCCGCGAGCAGGCGCACGGCCGCGCTGATGGACTGGCGCCGCGCGCCCCCGACCCGCCCGAGCTGCTCGCGGGCCTCGGCGTGCCGCCCCCTCGCCACTCCCGCCGCGGCCGAGCCGTCCAGGCAGAAGTCCACGCCCAGGTTCTTCGTGACCTTCGCTAGCTTGGCGCTCAGAGTGCTGGCCTTCAGCGCCGCCTGGACTTCGTCGCGCGCCGGCGGGAACGGTCGCCACCGCCTCCGTCTTGGTCCCCGAAGTTCTGCAGCCGAGCAGGGTCAGGCCCGCGGCCACCGCGAGCCCAGCCTCCACCAGGTGCCTCGCGATCTGCCGTGGGGCACGCCCGTGGCAGGCCACGGTGGTATCGTCGTAGAACATGTGCATGTCGGACTTCAGGTCCCCGTCGCTGCAGGCGCCGTACTCCTCGGAGTGCGCCCTTGCCACTGGTAGCATCGCCGCCCTCAGAATCCCCCCCGCGCACGGGCTGCGTCCAGGGCGTGCGCCTCGGCCACGATGGCCCCCACCGCATGCGGCGGCGCCCGCGGTAGGTCGACATGGCGCAGCGGACCAGGCGGCCGTGCAGGCCCGCGCGGCGGGCCAGGCGCTCGGCGCGGGCGAGCCGCGCCGTCTCCTACGCCTTCTCGAGGTCGATCAGCAGCGCGGCGCCGTGGAGCTGCCGCCCCCCCGCTGCCTCGGCCGCCAGCGCCTGGCGCCACGCGGACACTTGCGCCGAGCGCCCAGGTCCGCCCCAGAAAGCGCCAGCGCCGCTGCCGCGGAGGGAAGCCTCCCAGCGCCGCGCCTCGGCCTGCCCGAGCTTGTTCCAGATCCTCGGGATGCCTGAGAGCAGCCCGATGGGTCGCTAGCCTCCCGTGGGCTTGGGCAGCATCGCGATGAGCGATGCCCGCGCCGCCAGCGGCCAGCCGCCCCACTCCTCGGCTGCCATGCCGATGTCCACGAAGATCTCGGCCGTGGCATCGGACACCTGGGCGAAAGCGCGGGGCGAGACGCGGTCGACGCCAGTACCCGTGCGCTTCGCGAACGACTTGGCGGCGTCCAGCCACTCGACCGCCGTTGGCCTGGGCAGTGCCTCCGAGTCGGTCTGCTTCTCGAAGTCCTGCCACCCGTCCGACCCGTCGTCCAAGCTCCAGACCTCGTGCGCCCAGTACCTGCCGACTGCGCCCACCTCGCGCTGGCCTGCCCTCGGGGCACCCAGCAAGTCCAGCTCGTCCTCGAGCCAGCCGCGTGGGCCGCGCCGCCATGCGTGGAGCCCGCCTGCGCCATGCTCGAGTGCATCCAGCACCCATCTGTTGAAGCACCCGTGGCGGTGGCGGCTGTGCTCGACGGCCATCGCGGCTGCCTTGGCACGGGCTTCGGAGGCCAGCCCCGCTAGGGCGTTGGCCGTCGCGACGGCCACGGCCGCCAGCGCGGCAACCCAGCGGGCGCCGCAGCTCTTGGCCGCCCGCGCGGGCACACGCCTCCGTGTGCGGCGCTGCACCGCGGCGTCATCCAGGTAGTCGGCCACGGCGAGGAGGTGCCGTGCCTGCCCGCTCGACTTGGGGCCGCCCGAGATCTGCGGGTGGTCGGACGTCGGGTTCACCCAACGCTCCTCGGGCTCCAGGCCGCGCCCGCAGTGCGCCTGCGCCTCCAGCGGGTCGTCGACGTGGTGGGCGCATTGCCCCGAGGTAGGCTGACTCGAGCGCCGCTGGGGATGACGCCGCCGAGGCCGCTAGCGCCTGCAGGTCGGCCGACGGGGGGGCGGCCTCACGCCGTGGGCCGATGGGTAGCTCCCTCGGGCATGCCCTCGGCTGCTTCAGGACCCGCAGGGGCGCGATCTCCATGCGCGCGTTCAGCACGAGCTTGACCGCGCAGTGGGGCCTGAAGGGCCCAGGGGTGACCGTGCTGCAGCTCCTCACGGACTCCGCCAGGCAGCGGTGCACGATGAAGTAGTCGAGGTTGGTGGGCGTCGCCGCCTGGAAGCAGGTCTCGCCCTCGGTCGACTGCACGATGACGCCCTGCACCGCCTCCAGCCACCAGCCCGCCTTCGCTTTAAAAACGTCGGGCGCGGCGTTGAATCCGCCGCCGATGACCCAGGGCCTGCCCAAGGAGACCAGCGCGTCGCCGATCTCGACGAGGGGCCGCTGGGATGCCTCTCCCACCGCGTCGTTGGCGAGGTAGATGCTGCCGGGGGCGATGCCGCCGCGGCGGACCGCGTCCGTCACCGCGACGATGCCGCGCCCGTCGCTGCATGTCACGCGGCCGCCGCCCGCCGCGCCGGCGTTAACCAGGCCGCGCGCGGCGGGGACGGCGACCCCAACGCCGCCCGAGGCCGCGCGGGCGCCTCCTGCGCCGCCGCTGCTGGCAGCACCAGGCGCCAGGGCGGCCTTCACCTCTGCGCGCCTGCACCACGCCTCCTGGGTGTTGATGTCGCCCGCGTGGAGGTGCGCCTCCTGGATGAGCCACGCATCCGCGCGGCGGCTCTCGACGAACCCCGCGCCCGCCACCTCCTCCTGCCAGAGCTGGGTGATCGCACCCCGGCCTGACCCGTTGGCCGTCATGATCTCGAACGTGTCCTCGCGCCTCGGGCGGGCGCGCCGCTGCCATGCTGGCCGCCGCGGGGCCGCGCCCACAGGGCGGTCGGGGCGGCGCCCGCCCTCCCCGCGCGGGCCCGCCCCCGCGGCGCCGCGCTCGGGCGCTGCTCGGGCGGCAGGGCCGCTCGCTGGGATCAGCGCGTCGAGGCACAGGGGAAAGGGCGCCGTGCTGTCGTCACTTCTTCTTGATGACCCCTCCGCTGCCACCACTGCGGCGGTCGGCTGCCTTGGTGCGGGCTGCGGCGATGACGCCGCGGATCTTCTCGCGGCTGAGGCCCGAGGGAGGGCGATCACAATCACCGCCAGGACCCACCAGATCCGCAGCCAGGGCCGACTCCAGCGCATCGTGCATCGCCGCGTCCGCCGCGTCTGCCTCCTCCTGGCTGGCCAGGACCTCGAAGGGCTCTGCGCTGGCGCCGCCTCCTGCATCGCTCGACCTGGGCTGCGCGGCGACGCTGGCGGCTTCCTGCTTGCCCCACTCCTCGACGAGCTGTACCGCGGCCGCGACCTCGGAGGGGACCTGGCCCGCCACCGCGGCTTGAGGTTGCCGAGGGAGTCCAGGAAGAGCCGCCCTCGCGCAGCAGGCGTGGCGGCCTTGGCCGCAAGCTCCGCCAGGTGGGACGTCGCGACCTTGGCCCGCTCCGCGCTGAGGGCGGCGCGCTCGGCGAGCACGGCCTCGAGCTCCTTCTCGGCGTTGGCGAGGGCCTCCTTCCGCTTGGCCACCTGCTCCTGCTTCGCCACGCACCGCTTGTCCAGCTCGCCGATCTTGCTGTCGATGGCCCGCAGCTGTTCGTGCGGTGGCTTGGCCAGGCGCTGCTCCTCCTGGATGCGGGCCATCTCGCTGCGGCAGGACGCCAGGAGCGACACCAGGGCCTCGTCCTCGCTGCCCAGGGCCTCCAGCTTCGTGATGAGGCCCCGCAGCTCGGCCACCCTGTCGCTGCCGCGCGGCGCCACGCGAGGCCGAGCGCTGCAGCGCCTGGTTCTCCTTCGGGCCGTCGAGCTCGCGTCGCAGGGCCTCGACCTTGCTGGCGCCAGCCGTCGCGCCACTGCGGCCCCGCGCCGACGCCGAGGCGGAGCGCGGCCGTGCCCAAGGCGGTCGCTCGGCGCCGCACGCGCGGCAGGCGGCCCGCGAGGCCCAGTGGCCCTTGGCCCCGCAGGAGCAGTCCCAGGTCGCCTCGCTGCCGCCGCCGTGGCCCGCCAT